TTGGCGGCTTCTTGGACCAGGAGAGGAGAAACAGAATGAGGGATGGAAGGGAATGATAGGGAGGGCTACTTCAGGACCACGGACAGTGACTGGGTTTACGGACCCACTGAATGCCCATTCAGATCAGAAGCTCCCTCTAAATCTGCCCCTGCCTCGTCTGTTGTTTCCCTGCTTGGCCAGCAGGTGTCGCTGACCATCTTGTCCTTTTCTCTGTGCTTCCTTAGTTTTATCATCCTTCTATGTCCCTGGTGCGTCCCCCCGCTTCCCAGGAGCTAAGTGGGCTGTTGATGACCATCGTGGGTTCAACTACGTTGGACATTTTGTTTTCCCTTGTTAACTATATTGTGTTCATGTAGTTCAGTATTGGTCCTGGTTTTGTGTTTTAGGTCCAGGTTATTCCCATTTCTACTACATTACTGTTTCCCCAGTGTTTGATTATTTAGTGCTTTATGATTATTAATGATCCTCACCTGTTCCTTATTGTCCCTAATTAGTTATGGCTCACACCTGTGCCTTTCTCAGAGCCTCATCATCTGTGTATGTATGTATCTGCTCTTGCCCAGTTACTCTGTCAGTCATTGTATATGTTTAAGGTAAGCGTGTTTGCTGTTAGTTGCTACCCGCTGGTTTCCCTGATTTGAGCTTAATGTTTCTTCTCCGTTCCCATGTATTTGGTTTAGCCTTGGTTTAGTTCTTGCATGCCTTCCTGTCTGCATTTAGACTCCTTGTGGTTCCTTTATTTTCTGTTTTTATCTGAGTTCTGTCTATAATACAATTCCCCTTCATTAGTAAGCTGCTCATAGGATCATCATTGACTATGTCCAATAATGACAACTGACCCCAGCATGGAAAACTATTTCTGTTCTCCGAAAATTTCTTTCACTTCCTCCTTCATTTCTTAAACTCTTACAGGCCTGACATAACATCCATATCGTTTAGAAAACCAGCCTTTCCAATAATGTTGCTCTTCTTAGTTTTTTTCCTTCACGCATGAAAAAAATCTTTTAGCAGTGTCGTTTCAGAATTAGAGTTTTAAAGCAAATATCATTACGGTCAAACATATACACAGAAAACCTACTATAATTTTACATTATGACAGCTTGGATACAAGAAGAAAGAGAGGCATTCATTTCTGAGTGGAAAAAAAAAACAGTTTTTAGGTTTGTTTTTCACTCCAAATCCAGCCACCTGCAACGAGACGTCACTAACTAACGTGTATCGCTTGAAATAACACGGTGCCACTGTTACCATAGGAATGGGGTTTAAAGCAGCCTTTCCTAATTACTTTAATAATCATGACTGACACCTCTGAACTTTCTTAGTGTAGTTTTGGATGTCTGTGGGCTGAACTAAAATTAGCATCACCGGAATATGAACGCAAACATTAAGTCATTCATTGGATTGTCACACTGGCCCACAGGTCAGAAAGCCTTCAAAAGAGACTGGAAGCTGTCACTCCATCCCTGGTAACGAGAAGGAGTGTCACTGGGCACCTGTATCACTGTGAGCGTGTGCTACACCTTCAAAGTAAAGAAGGTGAAATAACAGGCACCTCGGCACAAAAGATCTACATCCATGTTTAATCTGCATGTATGTCGGCAAGAATTTATTTGAATTTCTGCAGCATAATTAATTAACAAATAATTCATGTGCATTTTTTTTCTGGTTGCCCAGCGCATTGTCTAAAGCATTCAGAACATTAGCAAATTCATAGTGGAAGAAGCAAGGGTATAAATAATAGGAATAAAGAATACGAAAGAATAAAGACACGAGGCTTTTAGCTGCAAATGGGGGGCAATGAAATCCCTAGCTCGTAATTAGAGACAGCGAAATGCGGGAAATGAGGCAGTTTATCAGTTTGGAAAGTCACCCGCAGCGGTTCTGTTAATATTTTTCAGTGGAAAATAAAGAATCACACAATTTTTTTTCTTCATCTGAAATCATTTTCACCACCTTGCAGTTCCCTGTCATGTTCCTGCCGCTGCAAAACAAACCTCTGCATCATCATCCCCATTTCATTTGGACACTCGCGGTTTCGGCTATTTGCGAGTGAACAATCAACTGGGAATAGTTTTAGCGCCGAAAAATCGCAGAAACTCCAATGATACGCCTAAAACAAAAATATATGGGCCTAATCAATACTGAAACGGATCTGGATCACATAAAATCATATTGGGTTAGCACATAATCATTAGTGGTATATAATATTTGCTAATCGAAGAGAATATTATATATTTAAATATTAAAAGTTATTTTGGTTTAAAAAATACCGTGTGATCTTTTAATAATGCACTCTCAGAAAAAAAGGTAAAAATTTGTACCTTTGCTTGTCACTGGGGCTGTACCATCAAGAGCTGCCAATTGTACCCTTAGCTGTAAGTAACTGTACATTTTAAGGTACAGAAATGGACTCTGAGGAACATTTCTGTACCATTGATGGTACAATAATGCTGTTCCTACCTTTGGGATGTTCCTCATAGTCTATTTCTGTACCTTAAAAAGTACAAATACAAGGGTACAGCCCCAGTGACAAGCAAAGGTACAAATTTTTACCCTTTTTTCTTAGAGTGTGGGTCGAAAATGCAGTGCTCCAACTGCATACAATACAGTAACTTGTGTACGTACAGGTATATTTTAGATGGCTTGTTAGGCTTATATGAGAAGTTACAGATAGGAAATGGCAAATCAATTTGACATGCAAAGCGTACGGCACAGTAGGCTACTGTCTGTTTAGAAAACAGATTTTGAACGTTATGGTTCAGGCCAGGGGCGGACTAACTTCTCTGGGTGCCCTACAGGTTGACAGGGGCAGGGGGCGCCCTAAGTGGGCCATTTCAGATTATTTTTGGAGCCGATAGAGAAAAGAGAGGGAATTACAAACGATGTGACATGAACAATATGCTAATCCATCCGCGGGGTGACAGCAGTAAGACTTACCGATGAGGGTGGGGACAGAAATGCTGTCGGTGGGGCGGGGATGGGGGGGATCGCGCCGGCGGATCGATCGGCTACATTTTAGTTTGATTGTTCCCTATTTTGCAAAGTATAGTTCTGAATTTGTGCATACACTTGTTTAATTCCTTCACGTCTGTTCGCAATTTGTCTGCCACTCTAGCAGTACAGTATCGAAGACACGGGAGTTGTAATGTTAGTCTTGTATGTTTGTGCCGTTTTCTTGTTATTTTGTGCTATTTCGCTCGGCAGTGAACCACCGGTATACTCCGGTGTCAAAAGAAAGCTGGGCAGCGCGAGCCTCAAAGTACAATAGTCCATTACAGCCGGGGAGGGGGAGGGGGGCAGTTTATATATCCTGAAAACTGTCACTAAAAAGCGAATAACAAACATGTTTCTATAATTTAAATTATCAGACTATGCTAGATCCTTACATGTAATTTTCAGAAATTCTGTGTTCATAATGGAAAAGTCCGCCTCTACTCCAGGCTGGCAGATTGAGGTTATGGGTTGCGGTTATAGGGGGGCTCGATTATTTGCAAATTTTCACATTCGCGGGGATCTGCCACCCCAACCCCTCGCGAAAGTGAAGGGGTGACGGTAATTCATCAAGGAAGAGGAGGCTCTCGAAACACGGCTTTGTTCCGGTAATAACAGGTGTTATTCAACCACTGTTTAACGTGCCCCCTGGCGTTTGAAAAGCAAATGTTCCCTGTTTTATCTTGATATCGGCCCAGGCTATTTTTATAATTCCTTCATTATTTAAAAGAGAACTATTTGTTCTCTTCCAGAAATGATCGATAACGTTCATGTTCTATTTAGTTACGCAATTTAAGCAATTATAGAAATAAACCTAATATTTTACAACCGGATATTTTAATAGAGTGTTATGCATTTCATTCACGGATCAACAGATGAGTTGAATTAAGACATAAGCCTTCCTAGTGCAAGCACGTGTTTAACTACAACACCAATATACTAGCAATAAAAGCAATCATTAGGAAAACGATTACTGCTTCGGATGAGTTGGATTGAAGAGTAAGAGCAAGGTAGCCAAATTGTGCCCAGAACTTGTGGAAACTCCTTCAGGACTGTTGGAGAAGCATTCTAGGTGGCTACATCTGGAGGCTGATTAAAAGAATGCAAATAATCTGCAATGCTGTCATTGACGTAAAAAGGGGAGCTATAAGAGACTAGAGAACAGTTTTTGGTCGTTGCAATATTTATGTGTTACTGAATTGCCATAAGGCTAACTATCAGGTGAATAAGATAACTAAAATAGAGAAAATACATTAAAAGCAAGTGTGCCCAGACTTTTGACTGGTACTCTATATACAGTACCAGACAAAGGTTTTGTCATTTTGCCATAGAAAGGTTTATTTGTGCTATTCTCTACATTTTAGAATAATTATAAAGACATAAATACTATAAAGTGGCATATATGTAATTAAACACTGACAAAAAATATTAAACAAAAAAAATTGTTGAGGTGTGTTGGGACACAGAAGACTGCTTTGGGTCGGTACAGTGATCCCACCACTGGGCCCTTGACCAAGGCCCTTAACCCCAGTTTCTCCAGAGACTGGCTGACCCTACTGTCCCCTCTACACCAGTTCCATGGCCTCCTGGGATGCATTTCCAGCTGTCCTGAAGGAGGTCCCACATGTATGCTGGGGACTCACCGGCTGTTTTTCCTTCACTCTCCGGTCAAAACTCCTGCAAAACCATTTCTACTGGGTTCAGGTCAGGTGGCCAGGTCATGTGATATGACACAATCACTCTCCTTTGTAGGAGAATTGGCCTGTCCAAACGCTTTGTGGTACTATATATCAACTAAATTCTGCATCACATTCAGAGACTACAGTCATCACCACCGTAACAACATAAGCAATCAACATAAAACGTAATTGTTATGTGGGTCAAATTTGCAGTTAAAGTTGATTATTTTTACTTATATTTTTCATTGAGAGCATTAACAAGAAAGCAGATCTATACTCTTACAAAAAAGGGTAAAAATGTGTACCTTTGCTTGTCACTGTGGTTGTACCCTCAAGAGTCTGCTAATTGTACCCTTAGCTGTAGGTAACTGTACCTTTTAAGGTACAGAAATGGACTCTGAGGAACATTTCTGTACCATTGATGGTACATTAATGCTGTTTGTACCTTTGGGATGTCCCATTTCTGTCAATTTCTGTAACTTTAAAGGTACAATTAAAAGGGTACAGCCCCAGTGACAAGCAGAGGTACAAATGTTTACCTTTTTTCTGAGAGTGTATACGCTAACTGAATTTGTATTCATTTCAAACACAGAGGACTAGATGATTATTTAGATGCCTCGGGTTAGGAAGAGCCGGACATGCAGGGATTCATTTCTGCAAAGACAGACACATGGGCATCAGCTTGGATATTTGCCCGAGAGATGGACACCACCAGGTGGCTGGCGTCAGTCTCATAACATTCGGCTGAGCGCAGAGCTCCGGCAGGGAGGCAGTTAAATCCGGGCGAGATCTGGAAAATTATCGAAAAGGCATGTCTGAGAGTTGTACGTCTGACGTTTGCATTTTAGTTGAACGAGACTGGGCACGCAAATCCTGAACTCCCATGAGCCGGGGAGCGAGGCGCCGGGGGCTGATGGGATCGCCGGGGGCGCATCTCGCACGTCATGCCGCCGCAAGCCTCGCACCCTGTGCCATGCTGACCGGCGCCCCGAGGCTGCTGCTGCTACTGCTGACCCTGACAGCCACTGCCCTGATCTCCCAGCGGTCCCACGCCTGGAGCGACGAGGACACCTTATTGACTCCGATCAACTCCACCGAAAGCCTCCTGGAGAGCCTCCAGGTGGACGTTAGATTCTCTAAGAGGTCCGTCCACGAAAGCGCACCATCCACCGGGGCTTCGCCCCAGCCTCTGTGCAATGTTAGCGTGCAAAGGCTCCGGCCCACGTCCCTCATTGCACGCTGGGACAGGCGCGTCGGCTTCCAATGCGACGTGCACATCCATACCACGAACCGCGGCAGGGCTTTCTTCTGCGCCGCTTTCAGCTGGGTCGCCTCACCTGTCGTTATCGAGCACCTGGCCATTTCAGGCGGACAGCAGGAGTTCCGCCTGTGCGTCGGATGCGGCCTCTCCCGTAACAGGAGGCTTGGGCAAGGCAGATCGCATACGGGGGACCCGCTTGGCTTTTGCTGCGTTGACTTTGCCTTGGACGAGCTCAATAGGGATAACAGCTGGAGGCTGAACCGCAAACCCATCGAGTCTACACTGGTGGCCTGTTTCATGACACTGGTGATTATTGTGTGGAGCGTTGCTGCCCTCATATGGCCGGTGCCCATCATTGCAGGATTCCTGCCTAATGGGATGGAGCAGCGGAGACCGAGATAAGATTTCATTTCAATCAATACTATTACTATATATAGTAAATATTATTATATATAGACAAGTAATTGTCGACTTATAGACATGTAGTTAAAAGGTACAGTGTTTTATGTGCGATACTCCTAAAACAGCGCAAATTCCAGTCTTTCAGTTCTCTTAGTTGTTACCAGTATGCTGCTTAGTTTGCCGGTTTAAGAACATTTTGATTTAAAAATACATATATATTCGAAATGTTTTAGACCGTTTGTTGTTCCACTGTTTTATTTATAAGGTCACGTGCCTTGCTGAAAATCAAAGTAATGGGTAAGAAAACGCAACAATAGGTATATATGTATATCCAGCAAAAGCAGCTTCTGTGTTTCTACTGTTCAACAAAAAGCCACGTCAGTCTAACTCAAAACATTTTTTGATTTATGTTGCTCTCATGTGTAACCATCAACTGAATAAATCTCACGCAGTTTTTTAGCCACGTTTGAGTCGCCTTGTGTTTATTTTCTTATTTTACATATAGTTTTGACTGTTTCGTAGTTTGGATACTCATTCCGTTTTATGGTGAATACAGTTTCTTTTGGATTCATCTTGTGCATTGTCAGGTTGATACAATAACATTTAAGGACATTAGCCCTTTTTGACTTTTACAATGCGTTGTATATCTGAGCAAATGTATACGGGTATAGCTAAATGATTTTAAAAATAAATGATAGATGGATAGAAATATCAGTGTGGAGAAACCAGGTTATAATTGTAAAAAATGTAATATGCCCATCGATTTCCAGGGTTTTGCGTCAGAAAGATTCCATTAGTAGGCTATGTGTGGTTAATCATATTTGATGAGCCCTCATTTCCGAAATCGAAATCATAATTCGTCTTATTTGTTCCTCTGTTTGCTCATTAGTCTTATAAACGGGTCAGAATACGACTTTGTGCTGGTTGGAGTATGTAGATTTGTAGAAGCAAAGGCAGCTTCGAATCCACCATAATGAATTAACTAATTTTTTTGGCTAAATTTATAGAATAAGGGTTTATAGATCCAGTTGTTGACACTTGTTCAGTTGTTGAACACTGTAACAAAATAAAACAACATTTAACATTTTCCTCTTTAAATGAACCCATTCTAATGAGGCATCTAAATAAGATCTTACGTTCAGCATCCAGGGTCCCAGAATAAGTCTGAAGGTGTTAAACTTCATTGCCGACTTTTTGGTGTCCCGTGCTGTAATCCGTCTTATTTGCGCCTCAGCAGACCGGAAAGCCGAAGACTGCTGGACATTCAGCTGGGTGCCAAACTCACACCCGGAACAATCCGATTAGACTCATAACTACGTGCACAACAAAAATGAATCACTTAGTCTGCCAGTCATCGAAGAAATGGAGAAAAGCACCCGATAACCGGTTTTACCAGCTCCAGCATAAAACCGCAATCCGTTTCAGGTTCTGGCAGGTATAGGGCAACGCCCTTCTTATGTTCGCCCGAAAGGGTGTCAGAAACCAGGAAGAGGGAGCTCCCGCAGCGTGTTATAGGAAAGCAGCATAACTTTCTGATCTTTTTGCTACCTACGCAATGTAAATCTCTGCAGCTGATGGTGATGGTGAAAGAGACCGCCAGGATTTCGCAGAAATGACGCCAAACGCCAAACTCTCCGCTTGTTTTCCAGCGCTTGTGGCCGGTCTTTTGTTACTGGTTTCGTATGCAGCAGGTAAGAGGAATAATGGCAGCTGTCCGTCATGAAACTTCACCCATGCGAATTTGGGGATGTAACAAAGACACGCTACCTGCTTAATGTGCATGTAGAAATTGCACAAATAATTTCTTGATTGAGGGGATGATGATTCATGTTTTATGGAGTTTGGGGGGGACAATCAATTTGCGTAACACTGGGTTTCGTTAACGCGAGGCAGGCAAACATTTTAAGTATCAGCCGTTGTTTTGAAGTTAAATTCCCGAATCGTACTGGTGAATAGACTGCCTGCTGAACATCCATGTGGGACAAGGGATCTCTAGGTATGGGTATTACCCGGGGTGATCACATGCGTTCAGCCTTAGGGTGTTATGCACGAAACCATAGCATACAGTAGGCTATATGAAAAGTATATAGTCGTCTGCATCTCAAATTAGGTAGTCCTGGTTCATTTCTTTGCAATCGCCCTGATAAAGCGACCATTCCTTAAAAACGGAGCGTACAATATTTTATATAATTTCAAATAGGGTTGGGTTGGGTTGGGTTGGGGGGGGGGGGAGCTGCAGGGGCAACATTTCATATGGGGACCCCTGCATGCAACAAATAATAAATGTATGCGCTGGGAAATATACATCCACATCCTGGTAAATTCTTCCGTGGAGGGAGACCAGGGTGTTTTCTTTCTGTCAGGGGGCCCCGAATTTGTAGCTGCGCCCCTGGGAATGGTCACTGCGAGTTTCTCTTTTTCCAGTTTCTTTCTGACAGTTTCATGCAGTCTGTAGAGAATGCCTTACCGCAAATACGGTAAAAGTTTCTGAAACTGGCCGAAACGCATCCTTGATGGGAAAATTTAGCAGTAAGAATTCATTAATTATGTGTAATGAACCACCAGGCTGTACTGTACGTGCCAACATTTAAATGCACGATTTCCTTAGTTTCCCTCTTTGAAGTTTCTTCAAAGCATTTCATATATTTTTTTTGAAACTCATGATTTTAACCAGTATTATGAATTGAATTAATCTCTTCATTGGTTTTTTGATCAGTTACATCAAATGCCCATGAAGGAGAGAAGTGCATTTAATTCCTATTGCTAAGCTTTTTTTTTTCTTTCTTTGTTACAGTTGTCACAGGAACTAAAATGAGTAGTTTAACGTGACACAGTTTATACACTAGGTCACAAAGTTTAGAACAGGGTGGGGAACCTGATCCATGGAGGGCCTGTGTGGGTGCAGGTTTTTGAGATGACCTCTCAATCAGCCAATAAGCTTCAGTTCTGGGGACACACTGTGATTGGCTGATTGAGAAGTCATCCCAAAAGCCAGCCCCGGCCCTCTACCCCTGGGGCCTATACTACGAAGCGGGGTTACTGGCTTATCGGGGTGACTTGTCTGATTTAAGGTAGTCTGGGGAAAATGTAAGTGAACGAATATGAAGTCCGTTTAAACTGTGGTACCTTAAATCCGACAAGTTACCCCGAAAAGCCAGTAACCCTGCTTCGTAGTACAGGCCACTGGTTTAGATTGTGAATCCTAGCAGAAACACTCCATATTCAACATCAAAAATAGAAACACTGTCATTCTGCAGTTCACTCACCAGCATATGGTACATTATTTTATATGTCTGCCCATTCAGTTTAATAAGCATGTAATACACAGGTCATCCGATATATTTCTGTTGGAGATAATGATGGACACTGCATGACATTCCTTTGTTTAATTAGTGAGCCTACAGGTGTCTGACTAAACAAAATGACTTCTGTAGTTACTTTGGTGTTCTATTGAAGTGGGTGGAGCCCCATGTGTTGCATGATCCTTTATTTACCAAAGCCTAATCACAATCCAAAAAAAAACAAACACTTAACTGACCAAACAGGAAAGGCTACACAGATCTAATACACTGTAAAGGAGGATCTTGGAAGCGGGACCGGTCCTGCCGAAGACCCGGGCTGGATCCTGGCATGGACTGGTTTGCGATTCTGACAGGTGCCTTCTTTGAGTCTGAACAGTCTGAACCTTTTTGACATCTAGGACGTGTAGAACTGCAGCGGTTTGACTTTTTTCTGCCATTTGTTTTCTTTTGTTTGCTGTTTCTTCAATCAGACCACTGTCAAAGTCTTTGAATAGACGAACAACCAAATGGACAAACAGGCAAACAGTTTAACGATTTTTAGTGGACTGTACTTTTGAAGAAAAGATGCTGGAGGACATTAAATGGATGAAATGACGTTGGACTGAACAAGTGGTATTGTCAGCGAGTTTTTTTGTAGAAATGTAACAGAGAGAAATTGGAAGTTCCTCCTGTAACTTCTGGTATTACTGAGGAGAGGAGCTTAACCGACCCACTGTGTTCGCTAAAGTCCGATTTGTTTGCTTAATGTTCTCTTAAAGAGTTCACCAGAGGTTTTGTCAAAGAAACTGATGTTACGTCAGAATGTTTCAGCACCTCCGATGCTTGTTTAGACTCGTGAATGATTTTTGCTTTATGAGGGCCTACCTGAATTTAGGTGTGTACCAGGACACGCTCTGGTATGGGGCTACCTAAATCGTAGGTCCTGATTTGTGTTTCTGCATGTTGGCTCTGGTTTAGGTTTGAGGTAAAACTTAAATCAAACCAAACTTCTAGATTCTTGCCAGTCAGTTCCAGTTCCATTGCCAGTCGAATGTCCGTTCTGATTACAATTAAGAGATTAAAACTTTTGTTCAATATTGACCAAGAAACTGATGAAGCATTTCACTTTGATTTTGTAAGTTTCATGGCTGAAGAAACAGTGATTCTGTATTTTATTATAAAACTTAAGCAGGCATTCAGGTGAAAGAAAATACAGTTTGTCTTTTGACCGACAAACAAGATAAGATCAGTTGATCATTTACAGAATAAAATGGCCTCACTGAAGTGGACTGGGCACTGCAAGTCCAAGTTGTGGAAATGACTCAGATTTTCCACTTTTAAGACTCTTAAGAATGAAGTGAAGCTATGATGAACTCTTCCTATGTAAGGAACTTCAGACTTATAAGTGGCATCCTCTGTTACCTTGTGCAGGAAATGTTGTGATGACAGACAGTCCAAACACTGTCATCAATATCAAGAACGTGGAGCAGACCTCCAACTGCACTGTGTGCACTAACATTAGTGGATGCAGCTCTGAGACCTCTTTCAAGCTACCAGCCAGCATCTCGGTGGACTTCACTTGCCTTCAGCCACAAATGGTCTTCACCGTGGAGATCAGCAGAGAGATAGGTGAGAGGAGCCTTCTACCTTCTGGTCTGGTGGCACTGGCTGGAGAAGCACCAGTGTGGCATGATGTTACTATATAATTTGGGTATAGTTTAGTGGAACTCTAGAGTCAGATAATAGATTTGAATAGAGCAGATATATTGTGTACATTTACCGTCTTGTAATTCCTATTTCTTTTTACTAGTTTGCACAGATCTGTCCTGCCAGGGGGGCGTTGTGCCGTCAGACTCCTCCATCTACCCAGAATTCAACAGGACATTTAACTGGGATGTGAAAGCCCAGTCCGGCAAAGCGTTCCAGGTGGATTTCTTGGGGTCAGGAATGCGACAGATCCTGTCCTCTGAAACATGTCCGGACCAGCAAACTTACACCATTGTTATCTACCAGCGATCTGGGCGAGTTACCATTGGCACCTTTTGCAAGGATGGCCTGATCCGTAGCGTGCGTTTGCTGTACAAGGGCCGGCTGTCCTTGAAATTGCCTGGACAAGCACCAATGGATCCATCAGCCTTCGATATTACAGTTGGACCAGATATCAAAGGTGGGTGGAGAAGTTTCCACTACCTTTGTGGGTCTTACTCTGTCTTGTACTGTGGCCAGGGTTGGGCTAAGGTTAAAAATTGGCCCAGGACCACCCATGGTCAGTTGATAACTTATGGCAAACAAATTTTGCCAGCTGGGGGTTGGGTCTCGCAAGAATTTTTGCTGACCCACATACCCATTGGCTCACTGGGAAAATGCCCAGAATGCCAGATGGCTGGTCCTGCCCTGGTTGTGGCTGAAATGTTAAATCACATTCCCTCAGATTAAAGTGATACTTTTCAGTAGTTCGTTATGGTATCCATAGTAGCACTGGTTCTGTTTTTTCCTTGTTATTGGTTATCTCTCTCTCACTCTGTTGCATTCCTTAGGTCTTGCTGAAGTCGCCGTACAGTTTCCCCTTGGGTCATCTAACGTTACGCTCTTTTCACCAAACTTTCCTCTGGGTTTTCCGAGCAACGATCTGGCGACATGGAGCTTCTCTGTCCCACCGAAGCACAACTTCACTGTTGTCTTCCTGGGAAGTACAGCACCGCAGTGTCAGAAGAAGAGTGTGGAAGTGCAATACAGTGGGCAGAATCTGGGGCTCTCCACCAGCCTCTCTGACCCACAGCCTGCCCTAAGGCAAGGCGACTTCAAGATGTCCCTCGTTAACTGTGAGGTCAATGGGGGCTCAGGACTGTCCCTGAATTTCGCAGTGTCTGTGTCCAGGAGAAGCAGCCCAGGTATGCAACTGGCAGTGGAGCAACTGTGGTTCATTTTCAAATTTTGAACCTTCAGTTGATGTGCTTATTTGGAGTAATTTGATGTTTTGGCTGTGTTTTAGTTTCATTTCCTATATCTTTGCTTGCCACTGAAGAATCGTACCTTCAAACAATAGAGTTTCATTTGTAGGGAGAAGTGGTGGCAGCTGTAGTGGTGTGTGAACAGAGGTGGATAGTTCAGGTACAGAAATTAAAAATCCAGACCAACATGTTGTTTCAACCATACAGTTAAATATAAAGAATTACAGTTGCAAAGTACTCAAGTGGTTGGTTGAAGCAAAATCCTGGTTTGGCATTTTCACTTTCTGGACCTGAACTATCCACTGCTGCGTGTTAGGCTCTTTTACTGTAGAAAGTGATTAGTTATTACATCTTGAGCATCAAGTGTATAATCTTAGGGTAAAGCTGATGGGGAGGAATGGTAAGGTGCCATGAACAGCTCCCACAAATCCTCTTCTGCATGAAGACCCAGAATGTAATTCCATATTTGGTGTGTGGGTCTGACCAGGTGTCCTTTGGAAGTCCGACATCTCCAAGGATGAGTGTGAGATAGGAAGCACCGATGCAACCTATATGCAGTTAATGAGACCTTACCTTAACCCCTCCAAAATGTGTGTGTGTGTCTGTCTGCTTCATTCACAAGTGCCATGCTTGGTGGATCTGCAGCAAGAGAAAGACCTCACTCTTTACATTAAGAAGAAAGACTCCACATACTCGCCCTGTGAGATGAAGGTGGACTCCATCATCCAGGATGGGATCACCATGCAGTCCGGAACGCAATTCAATCTGTCTTTTCAAGATTGCGGGAGTGAGGATATCATGCTCACTGCCATCAAAAGCATAGGTAACCAGTCAAACCCAAAGATGACCAGTAACCAGTGATGTCTTCATCCAGTTAAATTAATGGTGATGGTAACCTGCATGCGCTCAATCACTATGTGTTAGTCAATCCAACAGACTCCAACCATTGTTTGGGTACGATTCTGATTATTCCCAACGTAAGTCTTAATCCGTATCATATGCAGAAATGTTTTAACTCTTCTGCTTTGATTTTTTTTTCCCTTGTGTTTCTTGGTTGGAAAGTTTGCCGAGCACTGCTGCAATATGTAATTAAGATAAGGAACGAGTCCAGACACTTAATGCACGCGATAATTATTTTGTCAAAAAGCGAGTTTCCCTGGTGGGTGAATTTTTCAGCTGCTGCATCAGTCAGTAAGAAATGAGTGTTTTGAGAGTGTTGCATATCTAAACAGGGCACAAAAAAATAATTTCTATGTTGGCTACAGCATCTTAATAGTGATTCCCCCCTCCCCCATTTAAGAGGCAGCTTTGAATAGGCACTGATTTGGAGAAATTGCCTGAATACGGAAATTTGTGCGAGCTGCTGATTTAAGGGGTTGAAGTGTTAGATGGTGTCTCCTGAGTCAGATGTGGAACATTTTTTATTGAATTTTTTTGAGGTGTAAATGAGCACCAGTGATTCTCCCACTAAATCGTTTCATTTTTAAAATGCATTCTGCCCGACGGTCCTATATAAGGATTATGTGAATGTCATAAATTTATTGTTTTATTAGTCTCAGACCATATCTTGAAAATGAAGTGTACAATCTCCTGCTTCCAATTATCTAAAAAGTGAAGTGAAATATAAATGTAGCAATTACAGATAAAGTTTTAAGGAATGACAAAGGTGACAGGAATTGTATCCTAGCAAATGAGAATTATGTGTCATATTAATGGTAAAATGTCAGAGAGAGGGAGGATTGGCAAATCTTAGTACAAATAAGTGAAATATTTGTTAATCCCCAAGTCAGGGTTATGAGTAAATAGAATGATGACTTAACTGTGATTCAGCAGGGGGGGGTGTCATACTGTTTCCTGACTGTAAAATTGTTTTAATCACTGTGACCTGTGAAAAAAGCAGAAGGGTTTATCTATATAATGCAGACGTGCTGAATAACTGTGCGACTCAAAGCGAAGGAATTAAGCATTTCTGAGTATGGAATGCAGATTAATGAAGGGTTGGTCTTTCAGATGAGCACCGCATTGTAAAATGCAACGTTGAGTGTTTGTGTTCTGTGTTGAGGTCATCGCTCTGCACTCCATCTTTAATTAGTTCTGCAGGCATGAGGTAAAAGGCTGTGACCTGATTGCATGCCAAGGCCATCATGTTAGGTGCTCAGGTGTCTCTTCTTATGGCCCCTCCTCAGTAAGCTTCTCCGTGATCTTTTTCGCACAGACCTGAGGGTGTGTTCGGGGCAGAAGTCATGCCCGGCGGATGAGATCCCACTGACTGTTCCTACCCTGGACCAGTGCCTCCCCGTACCGCTGCAGACGATCACCTGGAACTTGCAGTCATTGCAAGGGGGCACCATCGAGCTGCGGCCCCCTGCTGGTGGCCTCAAGCAGTCTCTGGCCGGACAGGAGTGTGGCAACAGGCTCTTCCTGACAGTCAGAGATGGTGGCGGCGTCCCGCTCGGCACCTTCTGCCCCAGAGGACCCCTGCAAGGCATCAAGATGCCAGCCAACGCCTCCATTGTGACCACAGGGGCGGGGAGTTTGGGCCTGAGCAGCACAAAGGAGAGCCTCCTTAACGTGTCCTTCAGCCAAGAGATCACAGGTAAGCAGGGCTGGCCGGGACAGGGATTCCCCCATGGCGGGATTTCCAAGAGGTGCAGGAACGTTTTGAGAATGTGTGTTTTGATAGATGAGCAGAACCAATGGGCACTGGCATTGCAGTGACGTTCTCATATGGTGCTTTGAGAGTGGAACTTTAAAATGGGAGTCAATGGAAGTCCCCACAAATACTTCGAGGTAATGCATGTTCCCCAATCTCTAATGATTATAAGGGTCGAGGCCACAAGAGTGGATTTCATAATTTGTCAATGCAAAGAAATAAAAATAAAAGTGCAGACAGTACAGCAAGTGAAAACATGAGACTATAAAGCATGACTCCAGAGGGATTAATCATCTATATTAGACGGTAGACTCTTATTGTGCATCCATCTTCCGTAACTGCTTGCCCATATAGGGTCACAGTGATTGGCTTTCACCATTATTTAAATCCCTCACAGAACTCTGTGTGAGGGTCCCCCATTACTAACAAAACCAGTCACACAGACTTTATTGTTTAATTTAATTTTATTTGATTTCTTTTGTGCATTTCAAAGCAAAAAAAAAATAAAAAATCCTATTAATGTACATTTCTAAATGTTTTCGAGAGAACATGGATGCATTGATGCAAGAACACTGTGCTATATTTAGCACAGGATTCTCCACTCCAGCTGTGTGTGTGATGAGTTTGCTTGCCCCCCCCCCCATTTTGGAAACTCCGGTTTCATCCCCCCACAATTGAAAAACATGCAGAGCCGAACTGGAGTTACCAAATTGTTGGTAGATGTGAACGGTGCGCATGCCCTGTGATAGGCTGTGTGAACGGTGCGCGTGCCCTGTGATAGGCTGTGTGAACGGTGCGCGTGCCCTGTGATAGGCTGTGTGAACGGTGCGCGTGCCCTGTGATAGGCTGTGTGAACGGTGCGTGTGCCCTGTGATAGGCTGGCTTCCTATCCTGGGTTTACTCGGGATTGGCTCCAGGCAGCAGCAGCCCTGCCTAGGACAATCGGGTGTAGAAAATGGGTGGATGATAAATGATGGCCAAAGCCTGTTTGAATCGCATGGGTACCTTTGTCAGGAACTGTGATGAATCACCTAGTGAACCTTAATTCTTTCATGCACTCAGTTCTTGACTTAAAACCGAATTAATTAGCCCCAGAATTGCGCAAAAATACATGAAATTTAAGTAAGAGCTAAAGCAAACGGACGCTGTATAGCCGTGTATTGTAGTATGTCTTGGGCAGTAGCATCGCTAAAACTGCACTTCTCAGTACTGCGGTTGTAACCTCGACACGTTCAAAACCAAATCATTTTTATATAGTAAAGCTGTATGTTTAAGTAAGGGAGTAGCTCTAAGCATTATATTGCTCCATAGATTACCCTACATATAATGGCCCCAGTGATCTGTTTTGCTAGTTCAATGTACACTATATAGACAAAAGTATTGAGGCACCTGCCCATTACACCTACATGAACTTCTGACACCCCATTCTAAATCCATAGGCATCAGCATAAAGTTGCTCCCCCCCATCGGCGCTATAACGGCTGCCACTATTCTGGGAAGGATCCAAACAAAATTTTGGAGTGTGTCTGTGGGAAGAGCATTTCTGAGGTCAGGCACTGATGTTTGACATGAAGGTGTTCGATGGGGTTGAGGTCAGGGCTCTGTGTGGGCCGGTCAAGTTTTTCCCACACCAAACTCACCCAGCCATTTCTTCATGGACCTTGTTCTGTGCACTGGGGCACAGTCATGCTGGAACAGCAAAGGGCCGCCATCCCCAAACTGTTCCCAAGTTGGATGCATAGAATTGTCCAAAATATCTTGGTATGCTGAAGCACTAAGAGTTCTCTTCATTGGAACTAGGGGGTCCAATCCCTGAAAAACACCCCCATACCATTATCCCTCCTCCACCAAACTTCACAGTTGGCACAATGCAGTCACTCCATCCAACACTTTGCACTTGGTGATGTGAGTCTTGCATGCAGCTGCTCGGCCATGGAAGCCCATTCCATGAAGCTCCGGGTGCACAGCTTCTGTGCTGGGGTTCCTGCCAGAGGAAGTTTGGCTTCAGCACTCGACCCCACTCTGTTACTTTATGATCTGCCACTTCCAGGCTGAGTTGCTGTTGTTCCAAAGCGCTTCCAATTTGCAATAATACCACTTAGTTGACCAGAGAATATCTAGCATTGAAGGAATTTCTTGACCTGACTTATTGGAGAGGTGGCATCCCATGACGGTAGCATGCTTTGATAGGTGTTTTAGTCTGAACAGTATTAAAGTTTTTACTGTAGGTCTTGTGTGGCTCGCTGGGTCTGTGCTTGCGTCCAGGAGGTAGTGGGTTCGAATCCCTTGTGGAGTGTTAAATCCGAGCCCAGCTTCTCCAGGGAAGCTGTCTGACCCTCTGTGGTTCCCAGCCTTCCTCACTTGTGCGTCACTTGGGCAAAAAGCATCTGCTAAATAAATAAAATGCAAGTATAAGAGCGGCTTTCTGTGCACACCACTGCTGTCCATGTGGTGGCGCTGCCGCACCCATGTGACGTGCCTCTCCACATACATGAAGCAGGGGTCGGGAAAATTAACCCAAAAGCCGTGAGGCCACTGTTGTGCCAGTTTGTTATTCATAAACATGAGCATAATCGACAGAAAAATGTCTCTTTATGACAGTATTCAGACCCTAATGAATATCCACATTGTAAGCGTTTTTTTTTTTTATTTATTTGCCGAAACGCTTGACTGGATTTG